TGGAAAAAGGTACTTCCTTTATGCAGAAAAGTCTTGATTCTTCAAGAATCTAGTGTTTAAACTCGTGGGTTTTTCTTGAATTGGTTAATGCTTGAAACCATTCTCTTGATCTGTGCACATTTTGCGGTTTGAGTAAAAAAAAATCATTCCTTTTTTCTGGGTTACTACAGTGTTCTAGGGTTCATGAAAGTCTCGAACTTTTGTTGTTTAATGGTTTGGTTTCTTAATTTGAAAGGATATTTTTGGTTCTAATATCCAAATTTTGAGAGATGGGTTGTGTTTGGTGTAAGCCCTCTGCTATAGAAGATAGTAAAGATAGTCCAAGAGAGAGATTCTCAAGTAAATCTTCTTCTGAGTTTAGAGTTTCAAGACCAGTTACTTCTTCTTCTAGAAGGGAACAAGAGCCTGTTAGGTTTAAAGAACGGTCTGATGTTGTTAGTGTAAGACCTTTGAATAAGCAAAGTAATGTATCGATGAATTTGCGTGGAGAGAATTTGAGTAGAAGAGAGAAGAAGATAGAGAGTGTTGCAAATTCACATTTAGCAATTGGTATTACCATAGCTAAAGCAACTGAAGGTGAGTATGTAGCAGCTGGTTGGCCTCCATGGTTGGCTTCTGTAGCTGGTGAAGCTATTAAAGGATGGATTCCACGTCGTGCGGATTCTTTCGAGAAGTTAGACAAAGTAAATCATTCTTTTTTATCTACATTTTGAGCTTATTTGATTCCTTGACTTGCTTATATTGGTAATGTTTCCATATTTAGAAACATATCCATAAGTTGCAGTAAATGAATAATTTTATGTTATGGAAACTGGATTTTTGTTCAGATGATTGATTAGCTTTCATAATTGGATTTGGACTATAGCTTTGAGGATAGATCCCTGATGCAGCGGTTTTGACTTGTTTGTTTTGCAGATTGGTCAGGGTACTTATAGTAATGTATATAGAGCTCGAGATTTGGATCAGAAGAAAATTGTGGCTTTGAAGAAAGTTAGGTTCGATAACTTGGAGCCCGAAAGCGTGCGTTTTATGGCAAGAGAAATCCAGATATTGCGTCGGCTTGATCATCCTAATATCATTAAGCTAGAAGGTTTAGTTACATCAAGAATGTCTTGCAGCTTATATCTTGTTTTCGAATATATGGAACATGATTTAGCTGGACTAGCTTCACATCCGGCGATTAAATTTTCCGAATCTCAGGTACCTTTTTTTTTTGTTTCTATTCAACATCTTCTTGACCATGTTCACCGCTTTTTAGTGCAATCCTCTGAGGCTGGGATTTCTTTTATTTGTCTTTGTTCATGTACAGGTTAAATGCTACTTGCAGCAACTATTACACGGACTAGACCATTGTCATAGTCGTGGTGTACTTCATCGGGACATAAAAGGCTCAAACCTTCTTATAGATAATAGCGGAATTCTTAAGATTGCTGACTTTGGATTAGCTAGTTTCTTTGATCCTCATCAAACTCAGCCTTTGACTAGTCGTGTAGTAACTCTTTGGTACCGCCCACCCGAGCTTTTGCTCGGAGCAACTCGCTATGGGGCTGCAGTTGATTTGTGGAGCACTGGTTGCATTCTCGCTGAACTATATGCAGGCAAGCCTATTATGCCCGGTCGAACTGAGGTAGATTTGCAGGTTTTGTTAAAATGTCGTTAAGCGTTTACTCAGATGTCTGTAAGACTAGTTTGATTCCTTTTGAGTTCACTCTGGTAATGCTTGTGGTGTTTCAGGTGGAACAGTTGCACAAGATTTTCAAGCTATGTGGCTCGCCTTCCGAGGACTATTGGGTGAAATCGAGATTGCCACATGCAACGATTTTCAAGCCTACACAGCCATATAAACGCATAGTGGACGAAACATTCAAAGAGTTTCCTCAGCCAGCTTTAGCTCTTCTTGAAACTCTGCTTTCAGTTACTCCCGACGATCGTGGAACCGCCACCTCAGCTCTCCAGAGTGAGGTAATGACATTTCTCAGGCAGTAAATGCTCTCTGTTCTTATGCTTCTATGTGTATATAACTCTTGGTTGATGCTTTTGTATATTCAGTTCTTTTCCACTAGACCTCTTCCATGTCATCCTTCAAGCTTGCCTAAATATCCTCCTAGCAAAGAGCTCGATGCAAGAATGCGGGACGAGGAAAGTAGAAGGTCTGACATCATTTTTACTCTGCGAGCTATTATACTTGGTAGTGCTTTAGAAAAAGGCTTGAATCTTTCTCCTGTGTTTTTAGACAAGTCGGAGGAAACAGGGACCAAAGACACCAAGAAAGGAGAGGAACTAAGGAATCTCGAGCAATCCCGGCTCCTGATGCAAACGCGGAGCTGGTTGCATCAATGCAGGTAAAGACTCTGATAAACTTCTTTCGATGTTTAAGTGTCTTTATTCAATGTTTTTGACCCTCCCTTGCATTAATGTACTTGCAGAAAAGGCAGAGCCAGTCTACTAATAGAAGCCGAAGCGAGAAGTTTAATCCGCATCCTGAAGAAGTTGCGTCCGGTTTCCCAATCGATCCACCAAGGCCATCATCACAAGCGTTTGAACCAAACAGAGAATCTCAGGGCAACATTATTATTCCTCATAAGAGAGCTTCACATTCTGGTCCTCTAACGCGTAGATCCGCTTCTGCAAAGGGTAGAAGGAATTACCAAGATTCTCAAAAGGTGGTTTCATCGATCGCTGCTGATTACTCAGCAATGTCTGGTTTCGCTGCAACAAGAACAGGCGCATCGCAACAAGAGACTTGCAGAGGAATGACTCGGCTTCCAGGTTCCTTCAAAGAAACCTCTGAAGAAACAAACCAAGAAGAGAATGGTAGAAACAACAAGAAAGACCCGATTCTCGTAAGTAACTCTTAATCGTCTGACCTCGATAAAACTACCGCACAATGTTACCATTATTATGAGAAATCGCTTTTCCTTGTTTTGTGGTGGTTGCAGTTGGGTTATGGATCAAAAGGGCATAAGATACATTATTCAGGACCATTGGTGGTTCCATCAGGAAACATGGATCAAGTGTTAAAAGACCATGACCTACATATCCAAGAAGCTGTGAGAAGAGCGCGAATCGATAAGGCTCGTGTTAGGAAACTTCAAGCTGAAGAAGCATCGAGCCATCAAGTCCCAAACAACCATCCCTCCTCTGTTTCTAGTCGTTGATCCATCATTGAGGCAAAAAGTATTATATTGATCAAAACCAAAAACTACCTTTTTAACACGGTTTATTTTGTGTGAAAAAATAATGTATTTTATTGATTCAAGAT